AAAAAAAAAAAATCAAGAAAATCATGTTTCACTGCCAGGCGGTAATGGGAAAATAAACGAGAGAAACTTAAGTTTAAATAAACACATAATTACAAATGATAAAAGGTGTGTACACATTGTTCCTGGTCACTGATCTGTAATAGTAATCTGTCCAGGTTTTCAAGAAAAGGCAAGGAAAGTTCCCAAGAGAGAAGTTTCCATCTTTCTTGCTTCCTCAAAAGGGCTCTCTGCCCTCAGTCTCTCTCCTGCTTCCTTTTGCTCGTTTCCAGCCTACCAGTTCTTCAGGGTGCCTTCAACTTCCTCGAGGACCATCATACAGTTGGCGGTGCAAGGCCTCCATCTTGGGTATTCTTCTGCCCTTCTCTTCCCTCTTTGCCGTGGTGCTCACGGGATAGCTAGAGTATGAAACTGGACAGCGCTACGTTGGGTTCATTGTGTTTTCATGCATTTCACCTCAACCACGAAGTGGTAAGCTCATGGAAGACCAGTTCCATGTCTGGAAGACAATTGTAAATCGAGCACCTAGCACAGCGCCTGGAACAAAGCAGGCTCCGTATCTTCCACTTGTTCTTTGCTGAACCTGGCCTTTGCTTTTCTTTGGCAACACTTTGCCCCTCTGTTGTGGAGTCCTTCCCAGGGCTCCTCTGTAACCTCCTACTCCTTCCCACCTTCTCCACTCCCCTTTTTCCCTCCTACCTCCTTCTCTTCTTCACTCTATCCTTTAAAAACTCCCCTCAGAGGAAAAGTTATGCCGTCCATTTCCCGTAAACTTGGCATAGCTCTTCTTTCCTCCTCATGCTATATTTACTCCATATACCAGTTCTAGTCAGCTCCCCAGCTGCCTTTGAAATGTCATAGGTTCTCATCACATTGGTGAGGTTCACTTGAATCCACTATATCCGTGGCCTTCATAACTGGAATTACTTCATATATTTTTTTCTTGCCCTTAGTCTGTTCCTTCTCTATTCCATCCTTCCATATGCCACCAGAATAACCTCTTTTATAGAAGACTTTCATGAGTTCAGTCTCCTATTCCAGAACCTATAGATGTTTGCCTATGTAATTCAACATGTTTAAATTCTGCTAGAGGCTTCAGAATGGCTCCATAAACCAAATCTCCCTAACAGAACCACTTATGAAAAAGAACAGAAATAGCATTAGTGCATTTTGGAGGAAGCAAAATTAAAGCTGCTGTGGTGTTTTAAGATGGGAAATGTGTCCACGTCAAGCGTAGAGGGAATCAATTCAATGCAATGTTAAAGCAAGGTAATGGAAAAATGAAAGTGGTGATTCATGAGAAGAGGCATCTCTCTCTAAAACAGTCTAAAGAAAGGGATGGATCTTAGTCCTAAGACTACGATGGCCCTAGTAATGACGGAAGCAACATCAGCTGCCAGCAATGAACTAACCGAGCAGGGACCGATAACTCTAGAAAGGCTTAGGCAGGAATATGGGCTCATTCACTCCTGCCACAGATGTACTGACCAGCAACTTACACATGAATTAACACTTCTTAGTACTTTCCCACTTTTCTCACGGGGCTTTTGCATTTGATTGCATAGGCCCGACCACCGGAGCATAGCTATATCCCCATTCAGTCGTGATCTTCTTTGACTCGTTGTCCGAGCCTGCTGGGATCTTCTTGAGTCCCGACTCTTGTCATTCAGTGCTCTCCCTTCTAACTTTGCGTCATCTTTTGAGAAGCTGATAAGTATGTGTTCTATATTTTCTATTACAAACATTTCTAAAGATGTGGAGTGGGATAGCACCAAGACATGCAGGATACCACATGCGGTCTCTCTCCCTGTGGACATGGACTCTTTCACAAGCTCCCTTTTGGTGAGGTTCTCTTGCCGAGGCTGCATCTCTCCACCTATTCCAAGAGGAGATCATGAAAGAGCTCATCAAGTACTTTGCTGAGGTCCAAATGCACCATGGTCACTCCATTTCCCTCATCAAGCTGACAAGTAAATGAATAACACTGGCGAGTAGAAGAGTACAGTCAGATTGACAAAACTTGGTTTTAACAAACATATGCCAAATGGTGATGATTTCTCTTTCCAAGTGCCTACAATTTCTTTAATGGACAGTTAGAGATTCTTGCCTTGTACTGACAGCAAGTTCACTGCTCCACATTTTGGAATTTTTCTTCTCTTTCCATAGAGCAGAATTACATATGTCTGTTTCTAAACTTCTTTTTTTTTTTTTTTTTAAGATTTACGTATTTTAGAGAGAGAGAGAGAGAGCATGAGTGGGAGAGGCAGAGAATCTCAAGCAGACTCCACGCTGAGCGCAGAGCCTGATGCAGGGCTCAATCTTACCATCCTGAGATCACGACCTGAGCTGAAACCAAGAGTCGGACGCTCAACGGACTGAGCCACCCAGGCGCCCCTGTTTCTAAGTTTCTGACATCATTTTTCCTTGGTCCCACAGAGATCATCTCCCTCAGTCTAGAGAGAGAATTTGCCAATTTTTTCAGTATCCTTTTTTACCAAAAAATAACAACAACAACAAAAAGCAGCCCATATACTTCCTGTATGACCTTTGTGAAACTGTGGTGACACGGGCTGTGGAGGAGACCAGAATCAAAGTCTCTGGAGACTTCAGTTGCTGAGACAGGCTTAGGTCACTGACTCCTGGGATGGGTTGGGATCTTGCATCCTAGACATGCATGTGGTTTGGTAATTACTTGAATTCCCTCTCAACCAGAGATTCCTGAAAAATCAGCTTCCAAGCAATTTTTCTTCTCTCACCCCACCCACATTGCTCATCCCTGCCGTCGGTACCTTTAGAGTATCAGAGTGTAAGATCTACTAGTCATTAAGATTGGACTTACCCACTTGCCCAAGCCTGGATAGTCATGTTCTGGATCAAAGAGGTGCTGGTGCAACTGGAATTCCCGACTGAACTCTGCTGTGTCGGGGGTGTTCTCTAGACATCCGTCATCTACTGCAAACAGCAAAAGGCTTTTGAGGAATGGCCCAGGCATCTATTGTTATTCTAAGAGTGAATTTATTCCAAAACAACCGGACATCCCAAGGTAAGCATCTGGCCACATCAGTCACTCTGGAGTCTGCTCGTCCCAAGCTCTCACTCCTCCTCCCACCTGTGGCAGAGACTGGCTGCCTACTCGCCAAGCCCACTTCCCTTGCCCCCTCGGCACACGGCTAATTTCCCAGCCTTGCCCTGCAATCAGCTGGAGTCATACGGCTGAGTTCATGCCACGCAATGTGGGCACAAGTGATGTATTCCGTTTCCAGGCCTGGCCCATAGAAACCTCCGATATGATCCCCGCCCCCGCCCGCCCCCCACCCCCTCGGCTGCTCGGCCTGCTACATGCTGCCAACCAGGGCAACTGGGACTGTCGCAGGTCAAGAGGAAAGACGGCACTTTGGGTGGCTGAACACCCTCACCCACCTCTGGCAGGACCTCAGGTGAGCGAGAAAGAACCTTCTATTGGGTCACCACTATCATTTTTATCTGTTATAAGAGCAAATCATTCCTTAACTAGTATACTTCCATTCCACATGACTCATGGTGTTTTCTCTTGGGTGAGCTCCGTAGAAACAACTTCAGCTTCTTGGAGAAGGCCCCTTATATAAGAATGACAACATCACGAGACAGTATTGAGCTGTGTTATCGTGGTGATGGCGGCAGCTTGGAGTCAGACGAACCAGCGCTCAGGGTTCCCGTCCTAGCTCGTAAGTGACAGATGGTCTTAATTCCTTGGGAAGATTAACTCTGTCTCTCTAAACCCATCCATCCATCTACGAGAGGGGCAGAATCAAGGACTTACCTGACTGGGTAGCTGTGAGAAAGAGATGATCACACACAGAACACCTCGCACATAATAGGTTCACTCTGCTTTAGTTCCTTTCCCAGCATCTCTCTTTAAATGACAATTGATACTCTGACAGCTCTTTGAAATAAGCACGTCTTTTAGTCAAACCCAAGAATGGATATCCCACTTGGCTGCTGCTTTGACCTAAGCCCTATCATTACAGGACGTGAGGCTCTGAAATTAAGTCCCTTTTTTCTGTTTCTAATGTGCTTTTAGACAATAGCTTCAAAGGGTGGGCGGCAGAGGAGGGCGTGTGAATTTTGCATGGGGCTGGTGGGGGGAGGAAAGAGAGTCCTTTTGCAAAGGGATAATGAGGCATCAAAGTCAATGCTAAAAGGAGTCCACGAGAACCAGCCAGATAGTACGGTCTCTTGAGCCTGCTCTGAAGCCTTCCAGCAGCCTGAAGCATCCAGTGTCTTCACAGCAGGAAGCTCGTGTGGCGTCATTAGGTTTGACCAAACCCCTAACGTGGCTCCCCACTTTTCACGGAACTGCTTATCTAACTTCTTCATCTACAGCAATTACCACGTAAGAAAGAGACAGCCAATCCAGAGAGTTCAGGCAGTCAGCATAGGGCAGCTTAACAACCTGTTCATAATTGTTTCTCCAGGACTTCCGCCCGAGTGGGCCCAGACTGCGATGTAGAGATACAGCCCTGCTCTGGGAATGGCAATATCTCAGGGCCTGAAAACGTGCCCTGGGAATCGCGTCCTATACCTGAGGATGCACTCTCTGTGTTCCGCTGCTCTATCCAGGGTGGGGGGACCATGATTCAGAAGAGAGCATGGCAGGGGAGGGGGAAGCCAAGGTTTTATTCTTGGATTGCTCAACTGTGCGGTGTCATGATTCTCACTGAGGCATATCTCAAGCAATCTCTAAACAAATAATGTCTAAATTTTGCCAGCGATTTCCTTTCCAGAGTAAAAATAATGGTAGAACATAGAGTGAGAAACATGTTTGCTTAGTGGCCGGATAGCAAAGAAAAATGGCAGACAGTGTGTGATGAGAAAGAGTCTGAGAGTTGTCATTTGACCCAGCTGTATCAGCCCCCCTGGACTGCCCCGTCTCAGAACTCCTGTGTGCATAAAACTAGTGCTTGATTACACGGATCTGGACTCTTTCCTTTCCTAGGACAGCCTAGAACTGCATTTATGTTTTTGAAGGCACTGACTATGTCTTCATTTTACCAATGAAGAAAGTGAGGTGCAGGGAAGTAGACTGACATACTATAGTTAGGACTAGACCTCAGATCTCTTGGCTCAAACTCTGTCCAATCTCCTACAACAGTGGTTCTCAAACTTCAGTATGTGCCAGAATCACATGGAAGGCAGGTTTCTGGGGCCTACCCCAGGAGTTTCTGACTCTTTGGGTCTAGGGGAGAGCCTGAAAATTTGCATTTCCCACAGGTTTCCAGGTGATACTGATGCTGCTGGAAACCTGGGACCAACCTGGGACCACACTTTAAGAACTACTGTACCATATTATATCTAATCAGTTTAATCAAATCCCCATGGAGACTGTTGCTCTTCAAATTCTGGACTGGTCTTTCCTCCTACCCATCCAAAACCCTACAAGCATGTAAAATGTGGCTGCAGTGATTGGCTCTGCGCACTGATTCAGGTTTTCCAGCAGCCAGCCCAGTATTTCTCCACTGGCTAGGTTACATCCAACTACTCTGGGTGCTCCAGAGGCTCTGCGCCCCATAGAAAACAGACACCTACCCTAAATCAAAGGAGGAGTATCTTTTAGGGAAAGAGTATCTTTCAGCCTGCATTGTGTTTAAGAAAATCTGAGGGGCTGGAGCGCCTGGGTGGCTCAGTCATTAAGCGTCTGCCTTCGGCTCAGGTCATGATCCCAGGGTCCTGGGATCGAGCCTCGCATCGGGCTCCCTGCTCAGAGGGAAGCCTGCTTCTCCCTCTCCCACTCCCCCTGCTTGTGTTCCTGCTCTCACTCTCTCTTTCTCTCTGTCAAATAAATAAATAAATAAATAAATAAATAAAATCTTTAAAAAAAAGAAAAGAAAAGAAAATCTGAGGGGCCAATACTGTCACAATTTTCAGAGCAAGACACTATGTCATGGTGGTTGAGCACACCATCCTGAATCAGGTAGACCTGGGTTTGAGTCTTGGCTCCGCTACTTGGTAAGTAGATAAGCTTGGACAAGCTATGCCCTAAGCTTCAGTTTCCATACATGCAAAGTAGGGGTAATAAATACCAACCATTGTTATTGTAGGCTTGGGGAAAAAGACTGTTCTGGTGCTAGGAGTTAACACAAGCCCAACGAGAGTGATGCGTTATTTACTAGCAGCAAAAACTAATTCTAATCAGGATGCCATTTAATGAATCTTTTACTTTGTGCGAGGCGTTGCACTGAGTGCTTAACGTGGATAATTTCATTTAATTCCCACAACAACTCCCATTTTGCCAATGAGGAAACTGAGGTGCAAATTGGTTAATTAGCTTGTGCAAGGTCACATATCTTGACCTTGGTTTTGAATTCAGGTAGTCTGAGTTTAGAGCCACTCTTAACTACCAAGGTTAGCTGCTCAAGGCCCACCATAAGAGTAGTCCACTCACCATTCATTCTCTTTGGCATCAGGGAGTAGGAAAATGGAAGGGAGATATGAGAAGCAAAGAAAAGTTGCAAGCTTCTCCCTTAACCAACTTCTTATCTTACTGGACCCATTGTCTCTCATGCCACCTCCTGACCCCAAGGAAGTATCTCAGGATTGATGCTGTTTGTGACATGGATAAAATGTCAATTGTCAAAGGAAGTAAGGAAAAACGGTGGACATGGATAATCCACAAACTAGTAAGTTCCAAAGACACTAAAAGTGGGCAGCAACTGTATCACAGAAACGGCAAAAAGAAGAAAATCTTTCTCCATTTTTATTAAAAGAGTAGCAAGTGCAGAAAAAAAGCATCAATTCCCAAAGAGGGAGAGAGACTGAAGGTAAAGCTTTGGCAAGGGAGTCTTACGTAGGTGTATCTGAGCGCCAGAACACACCAAGGGTTCTATAATAAATTTCCCTTTCCAATCTACCTACAAAACATGGTGGGGGGGGGCGGTCATTAGGATAAAAATACTATTTCTCAGAATATTTGTAGCAGATGTTAGAATTTTTAATTTCCTCCCAAAGACTCTACCATCCATGAGAACCCAAGGGCATGACCATTACCTGTTTTTCCAGCTGGACAGGGATTTGGAGGGTCCGGGTAGCCCTGATCTTCACTAAAGTCCTTAGGAATGTTGTCACCAGTCAACTCTGCCACAATGTTTGGGATGTTGCCAAAAGGACCCAAGTGCTGAAGACCTTCATGGGCTCCACCTGCCAGGGCATCAGAGTAGTTCACTTCAGTGCAATTAAATTCATTTCAACTAATATGTACTCAGGCAAAGCACTGTGATCTATACTGTGGAAAGAGAATAAGAAATCAAATAGTTCCCGCCCTTTAGGGCTTAAAACTTTAGTTGTGGAAATAGACACATGCCCCCACATGTACCATTTCCATACAAGGCATTAGATAAGAGACCTAATAGAAATGTTAATACAGCATCATGGGAGCACAGTGAAGGGAGAGTTTCATTTGGCTGATAGGATGGGGAGGGCTTCCAGGACGAGCTGGAACTTGAGTGGCACTTGGGGGCAGGGTAGAGGAAGAGATAGGGAGGCAACTGCTGCCAGGCATGGGAACAGGCTGAAAGACAACACACTTCCAGAAAAAGAAAGAAAAGGGGCGCCTGGATGGCTCAGTCGTTAAGCGTCTGCCTTCAGCTCAGGTCATGGTCCCAGGGTCCTGGGATCGAGCCCCGCATCGAGCCCCACATCGAGCACCGCATCGGGCTTCCTGCTCAGCAGAGAGCCTGCTTCTCCCTCTGCCCGTCCCCCTGCTTGTGCTCTCTCTCTCTCTCTGTGTCAGATAAATAAATAAAATCTTTAAAAAAAGAAAGAAAGAAAGAAAAAAGTCACTGTCCTCCGCCACTCTAGAACAACCACTTAAAACTTGGTATATTTTCTTCAATCCTTTCTCTTCTGCATATCTTTTTATACTTAAGTGTTTATTCATGTTTATTTAATATTAAAGCACAAGCATCTGCCCATGTGGCTGTGTGGTCTCTCCTCACATAATTACAAATGGCTATGTTGTTTTTCTATCCAGTGGCTGTACCACAACATATTAATCATTCCCCTATTGTGGGACATTTATTAGTGTTTCCCAATTTACTCTTAGGAATTTAATTTTTCCATATTTTGGATTAATATTTCTCAGGATAGATTCCCAGAAGTCAAATTACTAGGTCAAAGGCCATAAATATTTTTATGGGTCTTTATATTATATTGCCACGCTGTTTTCCAACCTGGAAAAGGAGGTACCAATTTATAAAATAAGGTCAACAAAATACGAGAATACCGTTTTTATAATATCTCTACCAGCATTGCGTTTTATAAAAATAATTTTTGTTTTCTTTGCTAATTTAAAAGGTGTTTAGAAAAATTACTGTCTTATTTTTAAAGTCCTTGATTACCAGCTCAGTCAAATATATTTCCATGTGTTTATTTACTAGCTTTAATTTCTTTTTTTTTTTTTAAAGATTTTATTTATTTATTTGAGAGAGAGGGAAAGCACAGAGGGAGAGTGACAGGGAGAAGCAGACTCCCTGCTGAGCGGGGAGCCTGACATAGGGCTCAATCCCAGGACCCTGGGATCATGACCTGAGCCAAAGGTAGATGCTTAACCAACTGAACCACCCAGCCGCCCCATACCAGCTTTAATTTCTTTATGAAAGTTGTCTGTTTATGTTCTTGGAATTTTAATCGTTTCTCTTATCAATTTGCACGAACACTTTACATAGTAAAGAGAATAAGACTTTGGCTGTTACATCTCCTGCAACCACGTTCCCATTTCCTCTGACTCGGAATTCTGGTTATTATAGCAATATTTTGCAACCCTAAGTTTTTAATATTTATGTAGTCAGATATGCTCTTGTTATTCTCCTTTGTGATTTCTTCTTG